TTACCTTAATGATCATGGTTGTTTCCATTTCTGTCAATAACAGATTTTTAATTTATAATAAATAGTATTATTTGTATTTATTTAAATGCTTTTATTAAAATTTGAAACACAAATAAATTATAAAGTATTTCTGTTAACAGAATTAATAAAAACATTAGTTATTAATATTTGATTGTCAAATAATAAATCATACTTTAAATTATGTTACTTTTAAAAATTACCAAAAAAGTTATATAAAATAATCCATATATATCAAAATAATTGATTAAATATAATAAAATGCATTTCAATTATTGTATTAATTGTTTAATTCAAACATTCGTTACATTAATTCAGTCATCGATTTAAACGTAAATCCATTTAAAATTATTGTTTTACTTTTGAAAAAAGTTTAATTCGTCTCAAATATGTATCGATTGAATTATTTATTCACGAAATACAGTAAAAGGTTTAGTTTTTAAACAAAAATAAGAATAATTTAAATCTAATTTTTATGTCCAAAATCAGTGTCCCATTAGTGGCGTCAATACCGGCTATAATAGCGGGTAATGATTGGTATGAATACATCCGTCACAACAATACCACCAATTACTCCCAACGACTTCTTGTCGGCCATTGAATAACATTGTCTCCTATACTCCGTCACAACAATACCACCAAAAGTCACACAAACTCTTCATTCAAACCATCGCTAACTCTAAGAAGCGCTCGTTTGGAGGACACGGCAACCGCCGATCAAATGAGCCAATTATTTGGCCAGTGGTTGCCATCAGTGGTACGAATACACATCCCGGGCGAAAGTGGCACCGGATTTGTGGTCAGCGAGTCGGGCCTCATTGTGACCAACTGTCACGTGGTTGCGGACCATAGAAACGTAACCATTAAACTAAACGAACCGATCCGTCGCTCACAGCTTGTCTACGGCGGCAACGATGATAATGTGGATGAAGTGCCCGCACATGTCATATACTGTCACCCGGATCTGGATGTGGCTGTTGTGCGCGTGTATTGGTCTCCGGACGCTATACCAGCGTTACAACTGACCGATCGGACAGACATAGCGCCGGGCAAACACGTGATGCCGATCGGGAACCCAGTGTTACCGCTGAGCGGGTCATACGATGTGGTGAACGCCACTTACGAGGTATCAGTGCCGGAGGTATTGGAAGTGCGCCAACTCGAGCACTGGGCGAGTGCTGTCGCCGGTTATTCAGGTGGCCCTGTGCTCGACCGGGACGGCCACGTGGTTGGCGTTACATATAGTGGCAACACTATAACCAGTCACGCAATACTGTCTGCAGATATTAAACGTATGTCAATTAATTATACGGTCTCTAAACAGGGCGACTGTTTTTCTACCATTTAGTGTTTCAATAATTATGATTTTATCCCAATTTATATATAAACAGGAGTTTTGGATAAAGCCGTGAAGTTTGAGACGGAGTATAGGAGACAATGTTATTCAATGGCCGACAAGAAGTCGTTGGGAGTAATACTGGAGAGAATTACCTTCGGCTTTGTAGTGATGGGTTTTGCCATTAATGTGAAACATCAGGGTTTGTGTATTAATGATATGATTGTCGCCATTAATGGCAGTCCTCTCAAAACGTATACCCAATTGGAGAAAGAGATCCAAAGTCTACGCAATGACCACGAGTTAAGTCTTGAGGTTTACAGACAGGGAGTCGAGGGTTCGTTGCATATAAAGGTTGTGCCACAAAATGTTGATCATTTCAATTGTTCTCGATTTTAATTTTTTATTTCATTTCCCATTTATTTATTTCTAATTTTAAGTCTAATTATTATAAATTTCTGGAAATTATTTATTAAATAAAATTTTTTAAATTCGTTTCTAAACGTGAAATACAAATAAATATAAATTATATTCAAATGTTATAAATTACTTGGTATTACATGATATTACTCGATGAATACAATAATTGAAATTCATTTAACCTTCATTTATTATTATTTTTTAATCTTTTTGCTAATTTATTGATCACACAATTGTGATATATACGTAAATTATTTATACAAAACCTTTTGTAAATGGAAAGCACACAAACAAAAGTAAAACAAATTGTATAATATTATTTTAACTTAAAAATCCCGTATTAATGATTTCATAATTATATAAATATTTAACAATGTTTGCACAGTTTCGATACAATTTAAGAAAATTTTAATTTAATTACAAATATAATAAATAGAGACGATATAAATACAAATACAATTTTTAATAAACATTTACACAAAACGTTTTAAAGTTTTGGATAGTATTTCAAAATCTTTAGGCATTAGATGTATAACGAGTCGTATACCAGAAAGCAACAAAATTTCCACATATTTCCCGCATATAAGCATCTGTACGGCCCGATCCATGTCCTCCACCTTCTGGACGGCCACACCATTGATATGTGTTATCACATCAAACCTCTCCAGATCTGGACTATAAATAAAAATATTTTATAAATGTTTTGTATGTCTCAATATTTTACACGTTTATAATATACGGCGTTTTAGAGTCAGGGAATGAGTGACACCACCCATAAGGAAAGTAATGGGTGTGCATTCACACACCTGGCCGTCAAACGCGGCACAAATTACTGTACATTATTTTCATAAACTCCGGTGTCATGTCATAGATGAGAATACTGTTGCCCTCGACGTTCACATCAATTATATTAGTCAATATTTTCCGCAACTCATTGTCCACAAAATAGGTGACCAAACCCAGGGGCGGGTTCGCCCCGTCAAAATAGCCGTCCAAACAATTCAAGAGATCGGCTGAAAAACAAAACAATTAATTCAACACTATTTGTGGTGAAAACAGCGATTCAAACGTTTAGTATTTACTAATCATAGCGTCACTCATAGGGAAAGCAATATTGTCGGTGTGTTTGACGGTATTGATTGTGATGCCCACCACTTGGTGTCGAGTGTTGATCAGCACTCTATTGGCCGCACCGGTGAACGCTGTGTGATGTATAAAGTGATGGTTACAAATGTCGGGAAACGCTTTCTCTTGTTGTTTGAGGAATGAGATATCGTGGCCACTCATCATCGGTTTGGTGACAGTGCCGGCCGTAAACGTATCGCAATACTGATAGCCGCCCACAGACCACACCGTTTCATCCATTTGCAGATCGTTAGTGCGGCACAACTCGACGACTGGCCACTCATCTACGGTGTCGTCCCTGTCGTCCAACATCAGTATTTTGAACCTAAACTCGTCGATTGTCTTCGCGAGGTATGCGTCAAACACTCGGCCGTCTCCCAGACGGACGTGGAATCGACTGCTGGGCGGAGACGCGCTCTCAATGCGCGTCAACACAAACCCCTTGGGATGGCATATGAATCCCGACGCTATGCAGACGCCATTCATATTGACGCCGGGCTCGCACTCCGACTGACGATACGATAGTTTGATTGTCACAAACGGCGCGTACCATTCGTCGGTGAAGGGTTCGGGTTTTGCTATCATTTGAACGTTTCTAAGCAAAGAGTGATCATTGGGTCTATTGTTTGCCACAAATTGTAGTGATTGTCCATCTCTTTGTTGATTTTGAATCCAGTATTTGGTGGCAATCGTTACCGCAATTGCACTTCTGATCCACAAAAAGTGGTTTAATATTAAATTCATTTAGTTTTTGGTTTTTTAATGCAAACCTTTTTATATGAAAATTAATTAAGCGATTCATGTCTTATTAGTTTGTAATTAAATTTAATTGAAAGTTTGGTTAAAAGAATTTCTGTTATAAATAAAGATATATTTTAATAAATTATATTTCAAATAAGCTTTATTCACATTTTGTTTAATAACGAGAATTAAATAAGTTATCAATTGTTTTCATAAATGTATTGAAAATGCAATTTAATAATCAAAACATGAATAAAACAAAGAAATGAATGGGAAATGAAATGTCGGCTCTAATAACGAGAACAGTTGTAATTATAAGCAGAAACTGGCATTACATCTATAACAACATCCTCTCCTTTACTAATGACATAGAGCTCCAAAAGCTGTCCTTTTTGTATCTCTTTCTCCAATTGAGTGAATGTTATGAGAGGTTTGCGATTTATTTCCACAATTATATCATCTTTTTCTAAACCCTCCGCGCATTCAATACTCAAACCCATGACAACAAACCCCTCTTGTCTTCGCTCGAGTATTACTCCCAACGATCTCTTGTTTGTCATTGAGAACCGCTTTCGGGAACTCTTAACCATAAAATCCTTTGCTTTTTTCACTATTTCTGTACACAAAAAGTGATAAAACATTATTATTTCAAACAATTATTTAAAAACAATAAATAATACGAAAAACCCTTTCCTTTGAGCACTCGTACTATTAAATAACATACTTATGGCTTCGACGGACGGCATCGCAAGACTATAGTCATTATATTTGAAGAAATTGATGGCCACGACATCGCCGTTGCCATCGATGACCGGACCGCCAGAGTATCCGCCGATACAATTGGGTGAGTGAACCAAAACACGCTTTGAAGTGATGTCTTCAATGATAGGCCTATCGATGCCGTCGACATAACTCACTGTTGAGCTATTTTTAAGGCCCGGATTACCGATTGATAGCAACGGTTCGCCAACCTTTAGGTCCGTGCGTTGGGACAGATTTAGCGCCGGTAAAGCGCCGGGAATTGTGTACAAACAGATGACCGCCAAATCCACTTCTGGCCGACAGTAGAGTACGTGAGCGCTAACTGCACCCACTTTCTCATCGTTGGCGTAGGCGTCAAAAAGTTGATACCGCTTTACATCCAGATTGTGTCTGACGCCTACGATCTGGCAGTCCTGCACGACATGACAGTTGGTTACAATGAGTCCCAGTTCTTCGTCCACAACAACGCCGGTTCCCATTCCCGTCTTGTTATAGATTTCCACCACTGATGGCAACGACCGCTCAAATATTTGGTTCATCTGATCGGCGAGTGTCGTGTCCTCCAAACGAACGCTTCTTAGAGTTAGCGATGGTTTGAATGAAGAGTTTGTGTGACTTTTGGTGGTATTGTTGTGACGGATGTATTCATACCAATCATTACCCGCTATTATAGTCGGTATTGACGCCACTAATGGGACACTGATTTCGGACACAAATATTAGATTCAGATTTTATTTTATTATTTTTGGATAAAGACTTAACCTTTTGCTGTATTTCGTGAACAAAGCATTCAAACGATACATATTTGCAATGAATTAAATGCCTTTACAAAAGTAAAAGAAATTACTTTTAATATATTTGTGTTTAAATCTATACTTGAATTAATGTAACGAACATTTGAATCGATTGATGAATACAATAATTGAATGTATTTAAATCTCATGTAATTACTAATTATTTATTCTTTATGTAATTTCTCTGATAAACAATTGTAAAATTCAATTATTTATCTTAAATCACATTTAAAACTAAATAATAATTGTAATTGACTAAATAACAATGTACTTTAGTGGTATACACATTTATTGCCAATATATTACATAATAAAGAATTCATAAATGATATTATTGTTGCCATTAATGGCAGTCCTCTCAAAACTTATACCCAATTGGAGAAAGAGATGCAAAGTCTACGCAATGACCACGAGTTAAGTGTTGAGGTTTACAGACAGGGAGTCGAGGGTTTGTTGAATGTAAAGGTTGTGCCACAAAATGTTGATCATTTTAATTGTTCCCGATTTTAATTTGTTATTTCATTTTTCATTTATTTATTTCTAATTTTAAGTCTAATTATTATTTGTAAACTATTTATTTGTAAATTCGTTTCTTAGCGTGAAATACAAATAAACATATATTTAAATTTTATAAAATTAATTTAACGATTATTTGAGACTAATTTTACAAATTGTTGTTTACCTAAAGAAATTTTAGAAACTTTTTAAAAGACATTTGCAAATTGTCTGAATTAATTAGATTTAATTAAATAATTTAAATGAATCGTTTAATTAGTTTTCACACAAAAAGGTTTGCATTATAACGAGATATACATGAAAAATGAATTTAATGTTAGACTATTATGTTTTGTAAACCAGAAATGCGATTGCGTTAACGATTGCCACCAATTACTGGATTCAATGCCACCGAAGAAATGGACAATCACTACAATTGATGGCAGACAACGGATCCAATGGTCACTCTTTGCTTAGAAACGTTCAAATGATGGCTAAACCCAAACAAATCTTCAGTTACGAGTGGTTCGAGCCGTTTGTGTCCATAAAACGCTCCCACCGTTTGTCGGACAGCAAACCGGGCGATAATTTAAAGGCAAAATATCATTGGTCGGGATTGATATGCCATAAAAGGGGTTTCATATTAACGAGTATTCCAAACGATATCCCAATTCACAGTCAATTTATTGTACGTCTAAACAATGGCCGAGAGTTTGCCGCATACCTCGTGAGGACAGTCAACGAGTTTGATCTCAAGATTCTACTACTGGAGGACAGGGACAACACCGTAGGCCAGTGGCCGGCGGTCGAGTTGGCCAAAAAGGTTACCTTACAATTGGACGACTGGGTGTATTCGGTAGGGTTCAGCGGCTATCAGCTCCAGGATTGGACAGTTGGCGGATCGGTTACTAACCCGACCGCAGACGGCCGTCGTGTCGCTTACATTAAGGAGAGGGCTGTCGCCTATCCAGCCGTTACCGGCTATCAGTACATACATCACACGTCGTCCGTCAAGAGCGGCGTCGCCAACCGATCGGCGCTGATCAACGCCGGGGGACAAGTGGTGGGCATTACGTTTCACACGTACGGCGAGTCCGGACACATCGCCGTCCCTATCGATAACCCATTGATCGGTAAATATATTAACAAATATTTCCGACACATATTTCTATACAATGCGTTGTCTTTTAGACCGAGTGTTGAAATGGATGGACACATATGACTGGGAAAGGGAGGGCCCGCCTCTGGGTCTAGTGGCCTATTACTTGAATCAAGAGTTGCGCCAATTCTTACTGGAAAATCAAAACAAAAAGGTTTGGCGCGAAGACGGAGTACTCGTGTGGCACATGACATCCGAGTTTATGGCAAAGTGGTAAATATTATATTACTGAAAGCAATTTCTTACCACCCCCCCCCCCCC